AGTTCGTGTTTTTAGTCTATTAATTAAACTTCACAGTTCTCAGCCTAAGAGCACTTCTCACCTGATCCGCTCCCTATATATATATATATATATATATATATATATATATATATATATATATATATATATATATTGGTTCAAATGAGAACGTGTCTTAACGTGAGAACGTGAGAACACATCTCAGCCATCCAAAATAAATAAGCATTTGCGATTAAATGAGGCCTAGGAAAGGACATTTACGTCTTCTAACATGTTGGCGGTTGCATTGACCCTTCTTTCCGTTTTTATTCTTTTTAAACTTGCCTAACTTTAATTAAATTTTATTATACTTTGTTCATATACTGAAGTTTCACAGTTGCAAATCAATTTTTGTTAGTGGGAAATTTCTACATGATGTCTTATTCCTCTTTGTTTAATTCTTATGGGAATGTTATTATCCAATCATATTTCTCTTCAATTAATATTCACTATATCATAATTAAATTCTTCGTTTTTATGTTATATACATGTGAATTAGATATTAATTCATGTGCATTACAAAAATGGGGTTGTGTGTTGGATACATGTTCGTGTGTGTTACATATTTGGGGTTGTGTGTTAGATAACGGTTCTCGTGCATTACATACTTTTTGTGATTCTATAAGTCCATATTAGGTGCTACATACGAGTTATCTAACGTATATATCTATTGTGTGTTAGATACTATTTCATGTGTACTATATAATAGTTTAGGTTATATGAAGTATTTACGTGTTTGATATTAGTTCTTAATTATTGTGCGTTAGATACTAATTCTTGTAATTGAGATACTTCTTCAAGTGTTATATACTCCGTATATAAATTTGTGTGACATAGTTGTTGTGATATTACTTGATTCTTAGTTGTGTATTAAATAATAGATTTTGTGCGTTGGAAACTCTTACTTGTGATATACAACACATTGCACAAGTATAATTGTAATATACACCATTATCAAAGTGAAATACTTCAACAGCAAAATAAATTGAATCTTACAATAGCACACTTTATATATATTCGTACGTATCTTGAATATATTCTTTCTAAATATAAAACTAATATAAATGAAGATAATAAATGTCAAACGAAGTGGCATAATTGTAGGAATCCACTAAGGAAAGAAATTGTCGATTAGGGAAAATGCGTAAGAGGTTTAAAATAATATTACATTATTGCCCTTGTTTATCATATTTAATAGCCATTTAATATTTACGGATTTATTAGTATGTGGTTATCTACACAATGATGAAGTGCGCCATACAGGTTGTGATCCTTAATTTCCATAGATCAACGATTCTGATGCGTTCTCATTTCTCACATTAAGCATTGTTCTCATTAGAACCGCACCCTATATATATATATATATATATATATATATATATATATATATATATATATATATATATATATTGATAGAGTATATCTAGAGAGAAGTGAGAGCTAGAGAGAGAAGTGCAATAATATGCTTCAATAGAATGAATTTGTAACCCCTATAACTACTCCCAAGGGGAGTATTTATAGAGAAAATACGGGCTGGGCTCCCAAGCCTTGGGCTTGGGAGGCCCATTTACAACTGGACCGCTACTGGGCCGAATACAAAGCCACTAATGGGCTGTACAAATGAGTAAGTGTAAAATCCGGTTCTGGGAGGTCTTCGTGGCCGACGAGGGCGTGGCCGACGAGGGCACGGCCGACGAGGGCACCCGGGTTCCTTGGGCTCAGGACCATAATCTGAGTTGGCCCTTTTTCGGCCGACGGGGGCGTCTTGGCCGACGAGGGCGCCACCCTGTGTCTTGTGCTTTATGTTCTTCCGAGTATGTGGGTTCGGGGGCTCAGACCCATATACTCCATCAGGAGTCCCCCACTCTCTAAGCTGAGATGTAGACGAAGTGAAGGAGAGTAGATTCCCGTGCTTTAGTGCTTTTGGCCGATGCGGGCATCCCCGGGCCGTTAGCCGTTGCGGCGTTGGCGTTGTTTCCTCTTTGGTGATCCTGTTCTGTGCTTTGGCCGTTACCTGTCCCTCGCTGTGGGCGGGGATGCCGTTGTTTCCTTAATGTGTTCATTTGGGGATGATGAGTGTCTTGTTTCAATGGCGGCCGTTGAAGGCACGCTTTCCCTTTTCTGGACGTTGGTGGTTGGAGTTTATGTTTGGGCCGATGAGGCCGTTGAGGTTGTTCCTTGCTTTGAGGACGATGGGTGGCCGATGAGGGTGCTCGCGCACTCCTTTTGGCCGTTGTTGATGATGTCATGTGCCTCTGGGCGATGTGTCCATTGTGATGCGTGGACGATGTAGCCATGCTTTGTGGTTACATTCATGTTCTTTGCATTGTTCCTCTTTGTTTTGTTGAGGCCGATGTAGTCCCCCAGTCCCCCACTGCTTCAGGCCGAAGAGTGTGAGGGGTGAAGGAGTTGCTTGAGTCCCTGGCCGAAGCGGTCTCTCCGTAGTCCCTCTGAATTCAACCCTCATGGCGATTTTCTGGCCAAGGTAACCCTGTGGGAGAACCCTTGTGCGCAGATCGCTTGTAGAGAGTTATCATCAAGGGTCATTACGAGGAGCTGATGGCTGTGGGCTCTTTGTTCCTTTGGTCCTGTGGCCGTTACGTTCCTGGCCGTTGCCGTCTCCTTATTGTTTGGCAGTTGTGATCTTGGCGAGCAAGTGGGACGTTGTGGGCGCTTGCTGGTACTTGTAAAGCCGGCAAGCGTGTAGGCCGTTGGAGTCTGGTTTGCCGGTGGGCTGTTGATGTGGGTTGGACCTGGCCCGTTGGTGACGTGGTGGCCTCCCATTGGTGGCCGTTGATGTGGCCATTGGGAGAGTGCCACGTGTAGTGACCGTTGGGTGGGGGGGTCTATAAATACCCCTTCCCCTCCGACGAGGAAC